TTACTCTTTAGATGTTCAATTATATAAATGTATTTTGACTTCTGTCATAATTATTAAAACCTTTGACCCTCTAGGTACGTTCCGATCGAATGGGCCAATATTGTCCATTTCGCAACGGACCAAAATAAATATTACATAAATATTGCGACATGCCAGGTTAGGACTATATTGGTTACTTCCTTCCTTCATAATTTTTAGAAAATAGTAAAATGTCCGCGAGGTCCTAGATCGACAGAAGTATTCAATTTTCAAACTTTATCCTATACAGATAAAAATATTGATATGGGAAAAATTACAAGAAAATCGAACATTTTTATCCAATTTTATGCGGAATCATAAATTCCGTATTGATTTTAGGTTTCTGGTTGAGAAAAACTTTTAGATATAGCAGGTTGTAAAGAATCGCTGATTTGTTTTGAAAATTATGCCAGATAAAAATATTGAAAATTGTGACTCTTTGTGGGTGAGGAACCAGGAGGGGTTCGCAGATATATATCATCATCAAAACAGATCTTATGTCAGGAAAAAATGTTTGTGTGTGTGACATTTGAAGAGAGTTGGATGCTTATTTCGCTTTCTTTGAGCGTTTTGTTTTTCAAAATCTTGAACCCTGTGTGGAAGAGGTACCAGAAGATATGGTCCGATCTCTATCGGAATCGAATGTAGTTTTGGCGTTTTATGAGCTTCATGGATATTCAAAATGTTGACCCTTTATGGGGAAGGTACCAGAAGGAATGGTCCGATCTCTTCCTAAGATGATACGATCCGATTATAGAAATATTGAGATGTGCCAAGTCTGAATGGAATTGGATGTTGATTTCGAGTTTTATGAGCTTCATGGGTTTTCAAAATTTTGAACCAACTAATTTGGTTTTTTAAAATCTTGAACCCTATGTGGGGGAGGTACCAGAAGAAATGGTCCGAACCCTACAATTTATATAAGAAATTTTGTGTTAATAGAAATATTAAGATGCACCAAGTCTAAATGGAATCGGATTTTAATTTCGCATTTTACGAGCTTCATGTATATTAAAAATATTGACCCTTTCGTATGGGAGTCTACCAGAAGGAGTGGAGCGATATATTGCACCTTGACACCAGACCTTGGGTTAATATAAATATTGGAATGTGTAAAATTTGAAGACATTCGGACTATTACATCACATTTAATTTTGACCCTTTATGGGGGAGGTACTTGATGGAGTGGACCGATATTGTCCATTTTTGCACCTGACCTAGCATTAATACAAACAGTAGGATTTTCAAAGTTATCAGTCCACTCCTTCTGGTACCTTCCCCATAAAAGGTTGAAATTTTCAAAAAATATATTTTCTGCACAGAAAGAGAAAGGATAATCCGATTTTGCTCCAAATTTGCAAATCCTAATATTTGCATCAGTGCTAGTCATGTGCGAAAATGCGCAATATCGGTTCACTCAAGAACAGGCTTTTAATTTATGGGTGTTATGGATACTTCTTTTTTAAGAATGAAGGGCCTTGTTTAGTATATTAAGAACACCGAGGGGCAGATTGGCTATGAGTCGAACTTTCAAAATAAGACGTGATGTATTTTTTTATTCTGACCCTGGAGTGCATTTGAAGTCCACTAGTGGAAGAATATTCTAAAAGCTTTAATATAAACAGTAAACCTTCAGATTTTTTGCCAATATGTAGACTTTAAGAACTCTTTAATAGATGAATGTTTTTCAAATGAGTTGAGGATAAGGCAAGATAACTATACAGGGTGAGATGAAAAAACTGCAACCAACTTCAGACTGCAATCATTTCTAAATCACTCGTCCGACAGCTGTCAAAATTATTCCAGTGACAGCTCAATATTTTGTTTACAGAAAAAAAGTTATTCGTGATAGAATTCCAGCGTGAAAGTGCGATTTCTTTATGTTTGGCTGGAAAACCACAAGTGGCTATCGTTAGAGCACTCCAGCATTTAAATGTGAATAAATCTTTTGTGTCTCGAACCATGGCTCGTTACCGTGATACTGGTAGCGTAGCCAGACTTTCAGGAAGTGAACGGAAGAAAACAGCAACATCAGCAGAAATGGTTCGAAAAGTAAAGAAGCGACTTGATCGAAACTCACGTCGCATTGGCCGAAAAATGGCTCGTGAACTGAACATATCGCAATATTCCATTCGGCAAATATTGAAAAATGATCTCGGGGTAAAGCCATTGAAATTCTAAAAAGTGCAAGAACTTACACCGCAGCAGAGAAAATTGACTCTAAAGAGTTGCTTCGCTTGGCCGAAAGTGGTGAACTGCCGAATTTGGTTTTCTCGGATGAGAAACCATTCGTTGTCCAGGATTTTGTAAACAAACAAACCGTGTTTACTTGCCATAGAGGTCAGCTGAAAATGTACACCCTCGGTTAGCCACCCGAACTCAAGTGCCGGCCATGGTAATGGTGTGGGCCGCCATAACAGCCGATGGTCGCTCTTCGCTCGTATTAATCGACTCTGGCATCAGAATAAATGCCGAATATTATCGGAAAATATTCTGGAGGGTGTATTAAAGCCTTGGGCAAGCAAACATTTGGCCGCAGACCTTGGAGATTCAAACAGAACTCAGCACGTGCCCCAGAACAATGGTTACAAAATGACATTCCTCGCTTTATTTCCAGAGCACAATGGCCACCAAAATCTCCGGATACCAATCCATTGGACTATTGTATCTGGAGTATTTGGGAAAGCAAGGTTGGCACTAAAAAATACCAAAGTGTCGATCACCTCAAGCAATCGCTTCGCCGGGAATGGGCCAAAAGACCGCACAGAAACATTGGGGCTGCGTGTGACGGTTTCATTGGCCTTTGAAGGCCATAATTCGTGGCAAAGGTAACCAATTCGAACAAATTTAAATTTATTCTAAAATTTGATGCTATCTCCGACAATTTTTGCATTAATTTAAAATTTATAAAATTGTAAAAATTGTGACGTTTGACTTTGTTGCGGTTTTTCTTATATTACCCTGTAATAAAAAAATGTGTAAAAAAAGATTGAAACCCTTAACTCCCCATTTTAAGTTCAGAATATAATATAAAATAAAGCGGGGTCGAAATGAAAAGTCTCGAAGTGTAGCTTCCGAATATATGGACCTTATAGGCGGAATGAATTTCAGACTTAAGAATATTTTCGCATTTTCTGAAAAATTATCGTTCAATTTGAGGGAAATTACATATTAAAGGGTCCACTGATCAGAAACTAAGAATGAGCCGGGTTTGAGGCTGGACTCAAATGAAGACAAGTAGCAAAGGATATAGTCGTGCAGGGCCGACCATGTAATACCCTATAACACTACAATATGTTCGAAGTCCCTTTATATGCAAATCCATTTCGGAAGATTTCGTTTTTGAAATAATGCCAAAGAGCACTGCCCAGAGGTTATCCTTAGGTTTTTGACCCGGAGAATTTGGCCAATATCTACGCACTCCGTAGTATTGTGAAGTATTCAAAACAATTGCACACGAAAGTTGTGTCCAATGGTCATCCAAAATGCTGGACTTCTTCTCTGTCCTCAACTCTCTTCCGATGCGAAATTTCGTATCGATTAGTTTTCAATTGTGGCCTATAGAACGACTAAAAAATTAGAAAAAATTAAAATTTTTTAGCCATTTAAACCTCTAAATGCACATCCTAAGAACAATAGGCTTCAATTCCGACCCACCTCCATGCAAAATTTCGTGAGGATCGGACGATAATTGCCACATACATATAATACCCTCAAAACGTGGTGTTGGTGGGTGTTAAAATTTAGAAAATTTAAAATTCAAAATTGTAAGTCAAATTGAAAAAATCTTATCGCACGCGATTTTTTCAACTCGTGACAAAAAGGGAAAAAAATGAAACAAAAGATATTACTTTTTATTGGTATATTATCCCGCGATTTTCTTAGATTTTATCCTTTTCTGGCAAGAGACCATTCCGAATTGATGGGAATTGTGAAAATCGGCCCAGCGGTTCTTGATTTATAAGCAGAATAAATAAGATAAATTCTTTTACATATGTATTGTACCTATTTTGCTATATATCCGATTTCTAGGCTATTAGCATCACTGTAATAGTCAGAAGCGATCTTTTAATGTATTTGTGATTTGGGTGGGATTAAAATATTCGCGGTTTTGTGGAAATTGTCCTATTTTCTTACATGAAAGTTAGGGTCTATTTTACCCGCTAATTATTTTCCGATGGCCGCTCAAATTGGTAGGTTTCTGCCCAGTCCCAAACTCTAACTCCATGTAAATTTTCGCGTCGATTGGTTCATAATTGTGACCTATAGAGCAACTTCAAAATCAGGAAAATTTCTGTTTTTGGTCCATTTCAACCCCTAAATATCGTGCGCTCATCTCCAAAAACAATAGGGTTCTATTCTGACCCTAACCCCACCTCCATTTTCAATTTCGTGAGGATCAGTTCATAATTGCGACCTGTAACTTGATTACAAATTAACATGGACAGACGGACGGACGGTCATACATAGCTAGATCGACTCAGCTCGGCGAGCTAGGAAGACCCATATATACTTTCCTATGTGGGAAACCAATATTTCGAGGTGTTACATAATTTTTGGCCAAATCAAACTTATAATACCCCCAACACATAGTGTTGTAGGATATAAATATCGGCCACAGATTTACTTGAAGTCCACCAGAGATAGAAAGTTTTATAAGTTTTAATATAAATAACAAGCCTTCTGATTTTTTACCGATATGCATTTTTTCTAAACCTTTGGAGATGTCCTCTAAAAGATATTCTATCAAAAAAAAAAAATTAGTTCGATGTAATATGCGAACCAATGACCTTTAAATACCTACATGAAATAATATTTAAATTTCAAGAGCATAAACCCTAAATTATGATATCCTGATTGAATCGAACGATAAGCTAACAATTATCTGTTACTCTACCGTGAAATTTCCACAGCGAAAACTACGTCATGGTCATTTCATCGACAATCGAATCAAATAAAAAAACGCAGGGAATTAAATTTAAATGTCTAAACAAAGTAAAACTTGGCAGTTGATATTTCTCGGATTGCTGGCGATTTATGAAATTATTGGAAATTGCCAGACCACGGCGTGTTGGCCACGTTTCAAATCGAAGAGTCGGGATGGTCCATTGTTTTGGAATATTTTTGGTAAGACCAACAAGGGTGGGGATCATTCGAATGATATTGATGAGAACTCACAGGAAATTGATGAAAATTCGGCCAAATATGAGAAACTTAAATGGACAACGGTGATTGAGGTTATATTTAAATGCTTCTCCAGACTAACAAATTTTCTTTCGATGTAGAGTGATTGGATAAAGAACCATAACTTCTCCTTGGAACTGCATTATGTGGTGACAGAAGATGGCTATAACTTAACCTTGCATCGCCTGCCACGTCCAGGTTCCAGTCCCGTATTATTGCTGCATGGTTTGCTAACCTCCTCCCTGGCCTGGGTCATAATGGGACCGGCAAAAAGTCTGGGTAATTTTCAACTCCAAACCTAATTAAATTCAAGAGTTTTCGTTTTCCTCTTCATTGTCATGTCTTGTCTTCTTTTCGCCATTCTCTTCTTTGTTGCCGTGCTGTTATTGGCTTTTGACATCCTTTTAGCCTTTCAGTTGTTTAACAGCCAACACGATGTTTGGTTGGCCAATTTACGCGGCTCAGCCTATGGCCGCAATCATTCACGTTTCACCACCAACGATGCCGAATTTTGGAGTTTTAGCTTCCATGAATGGGGTCGTTACGATCTGCCGGCCATTGTTGACCACATTCGCAGCGAAACATCATTCCATCAAGTTTGGTTAATTGCTCACTCCCAGGTGAGTAAGAGGCAGCAATGGTTGCTTGCAGCACTAGTGGCAATATTTGCCTTTCCTCCGAAACGAGAAGATGCTACCACGTCATTGTTTGTGTTCGGGTTTTGTCTGTTCTCAATCTTTTTTTCGTTTTTAAGGCCTTTAATGCCATATTGGTATTGTGTTCCCTGCTGCCGCAGTACAATGAGCGTTTGCAGTTTGTACAGGCTTTGGCTCCCATAGCCTCCTTAAGAAATCAGGTTAAATTCACCAATGACGATGTGAGAAAAGTCTTCCGATTTGTTAAGGTAAGTGAAACATTATTGTCCGAAGTGCAATTAAAAATTAGATATAGTTCAGAATGGCATGAATAGGTGGAGGAAATCTATCTAAAATCGATTCTTCGTAAAAATAGCTTTAATACTTTTTATTTAAATCCAAATACTCGTAGGGGTCTTCCATGTCGAGAAGACCTTTAAGGGTTCCACTAGAGGACATCTATGAAGAAAATACCTTCCAGAAATTTTCCTTTCCGAAGAACTGTCTCATTTCTCGTCATGGGCTTCTAGGGCTCCTCTATCACTAAACCGTTTTGCTTTTAAGAAGCAGAACTAGCAGGTCTTCCATTCATGAAAATATTAAAAGAGAAATTCTAATGAGCCTTCAATTCGTAAAAGACCTTTTAAGGTCTTCAATAATTTATATAATTCCAGAAGATTAGAAGATCTTCTTCCACTTGAAGGTCGTCTATCCACATAAGTCACCTGTTAGGATTAATTAGTAAAAGAACTCTGACTATTCTTCCAGAACCTCAGGTTCCCTACGTTATCGATGACTGCTAACCTTAAAAAACCTTCTTATCCACATATGACTTCCTAGAGTCACTCTTCACATAAAAGACATTCAAGAAGGCTTCCGTATTTCAAGACCCTCTACAAATGTCTTCTCTATGCAGATGTGATTTTAAATAGGGTCTTAAATATTTTAACTTGAACTCTCCCTCGTAGACGTCCATTTGTTAAAGGCCTTCTCTAATTTTTCTATGAATAGAAGGACTTATTAAGGTCTTGTAAGAATAATATCTTTTGGAGACCTTCTTCTACTGGTCTAATAAGTATAAGAGACCATCTTAATATTTTCGTGATCCTCTATGTATAAAAAGCCCTCTTGAGGTCTGCTGTGAAAAGAAAAAGCCTTCGAGACCGAATAAATTATCTTCTATGAGTAGAAAATATTAATGATCTTTTCTGGAAATGGAGAGCTTCGCGAGATCTTCAGGGGCTAGAATATCCTCTGGAGCCTTCTCAATGTCTTCAATAAGTAGAAAATATTAACGATATTTCTGGAAATAGATAATTTTAATAATTTAATAATAATTTAATAATTTTTTCGACATTTTTGAGATGGGCTGCTGAAGTTAATTTATGAAAAGAAGGCCCTCCTAACCTCTTCCATAATAAAATACCTTCCCGAGGTCTTCCAGATAATGAAGTTCTTCTCAACGCCTCCACTGCAAAGAGGAGTGTCTTACACAGACAGAAGACGATGACCAAGACTTCAGGGAATATTAGAAAATCTCGATTTCTTTAAAGGTACATAGGTCTGCAAGGTATTCTACACGAAGACTCTGAGTTCCTCTATAAGAAGAACCTTGAAGCCTACCACACGAAAACCTTTCTTTCTTTTATATGACGACATAACAAAGACTTCTTCCGTTGACCTCTCCTATACGAAAAGCCTTCTATCTTTTCAATACGAAAAGCCTAGCTCAGCTCTTCCATACGAAAATCCTAGCTTAGCTCCTCAATACGAAGAGACTAGCCCATGAGAAGACCTTCCAGCCCTTCTCTGAGAAAACCTTTTAGATCTTCCATACAAAGAGACGAGGAGCCTGTCAGCAGCTATTTCATACGAAGAGCTTGTCAGCAGCTATTCCATACGTCAGCAGGTCTTGTATAGGAAGAGCCTGTCAGCAGCTCTTCTACAGGAAGAGCCTAGCTCAGCTCTTCTATTGGAAAAGCCTTCACGCAGCTCTTCTACAGGAAGAGCCTTCCAGCAGCTCTTCTCTTAGAAAACCTTTCAGCTCTTATGTGAGAAGACCTTCCAGCTCTTCTTCTATACGAAGAGCCTTCCACCAGCTCTTCTATGACGAAGAGCCTTCCACCAGCTCTTCTATGACGAAGAGCCCACCACCAGTTCTTCTATGACGAAGAGCCCACCACCAGCTCTTCTATGACGAAGAGCCCACCACCAGCTCTTCTATGACGAAGAGCCCACCACCAGCTCTTCTATGACGAAGAGCCCACCACCAGCTCTTCTATGGCGAAGAGCCCACCACCAGCTCTTCTATGGCGAAGAGCCCACCACCAGCTCTTCTATAGGAAGAGGCTCCCAGCTGAGCTCTTCTATACGAAGAGCTTTCCAGTTGAGCTCTTCTATACGAAGAGCCTTCCAGCGGAGCTCTTCTATACGAAGAGCCTTCCAGCGGAGCTCTTCTACACGAAGAGCTTTCCAGCTGAGCTCTTCTATACGAAAAGCCTTCCAGCTGAGCTCTTCTATACGAAAAGCCTTCCAGCTGAGCTCTACTATATGAATAGCCTTTTAGTTCTTCCATGGGAAGACCTTTCAGCTCTTCTCTGAGAAACCCTTTCAGCTCTTCTCTGTGAAGACCTCCCAGCTCTTATATGGGAATACCTTCCAGCTCTTCTGTTATATGAAGAGCCTTCCAGCAGCTCTTCTATACGAAAACCCTTTCAGCTGTTCCATGAGAAGACCTTTCAGCTCTTCTTCTTCATCTCTTCCTCTTCTTCTTCCTGCCCTGTCCATCCGTCCGTCCGTCCGTCTACGTCTACGAATTAGGATAGGAAGCTAAAATTTTGCACACATTAGTCTTTTGTCTGCAGGCAGATCAAGTTCGAAGATGGAATCAGTCCACGGTATCGTATAGCCCCCATATAACGGTACTCCCCACCCCCATATTCGGTATTTTCATGATTTTTCAATGGAGCGGTCTGAAATTCTACAGAATTAGTTCTTTGTGAGCTCTTAACCATCTGAATGAGAATAGAGTTTAAGGTCTACTATAGCGTATATCCCCATATAACGGTACCTCCCGATGTTCAGTATTTTGATGATCCTAGCCAAATTGTCCAATGGATTTGACCACACAATTAATTCCCTCTGAGTACTTTACACCCTGGAATAGAATTGTCTAAATAGGTCTACGATATCAAATAGCCCCCATACAACGGTACCCTCCAATTTTTGCAATTTCGATAATTTTAGCTACATTTCTTATTCAATGTTTGTAATTGGTTCTACAACCTGTGACAATAAATATGCAGGTCTACATGTTCGCATAGCCCCCATATAACGATACCTCCTGATATTCGGTATTTTGATGATTTTACAGAAGAAAACCAATGACAACGACTTTGAGCTGCTTCCCCAGAGTTTTATGCGTGACAAATGCCTGAGGTCCTCCCAACGTTCGGAATGTGAAAAATGGTTTATGCTGTTGGCAGGCAATGGACAATATGATAGGGTAAGTTTTTCAATTGTCTTCTTTTAATTTATTTGTAGTACCCATTCTTTTTTGCAGGCCATGAACACCCTACTCTATGGCCAACTGCTGCAGGGAGGTTCTGTGAAAGAGGCAACTCATTTACGCCAACTCTGGAAATCGGGAGATTTTATTTGGTTCGATTATGATCCGCAGGTTAATCTAGTCAACTACAGAAGTGTTGCGCCCCCTTTCTATAACTTGTCTCTCGTTCAAGTACCAATGATCTTGTATTTTGGTAACACCGATGCTATAGCCACACCTGAGGGTGTGCATTCAATTTATGCCCATATGTTGGACAATGTCAAAGGTGTCTATCGCATTGATGCTGAGAAATTTAATCATTATGACTTCTATATATCGTCGGAGATCAAGAAGTTGGTCAACGATCGTTTGCTGGACCATAAGGAGAAATTGCAGAAAAATCAATTGAAATATGTTGTGGAATGAAATGCATTATAAAATTGGATTTTCGTGTTTCTTTTTGAGGTGGTGAAAGGGGGGGAGACTTGGGTGCTCGGTAAAAATCAAGAGGTCTTCAAATAAATATTTTTTTCTTTCAATTGACTTTAGCACTAGCCAACGACAAAACCAAATGAATTTTGAACAAAATTTAAATATAATTTTTGTTAAGTAAAAAACCCATCACTCCACTTGCATGACCCCTTTTCCTGTGCCACAAAATCACCCAGTTGTAAAACAAATAATTAATTAGCACTGGATTATATTTCGGTTTGTATTTCAGCTCCCACTGCCCTACCTCCCGCCTGGTGGACGTAATATTTCATATTGACATTATGGTGTCGAATATATTGCACAAAATCGTTCGAAACACACACACACGTACATACCAATAAATTATGTAATCCCTCTCGGGTTGACATCTTTTGATCTGACGTCGAGATTTACCCAAAAAAAAAAGAAACAACAATTAAAGGAAGGAAGCAAAGCGAACAAAGAAAACCAAAATAAATACCGACAAAGCATCACTTTTACTTTCGTTGAATATTCATGACAAGTCGACCGACTGGCTGACTTGTGGTGGTGGGTCGGTCAATATGTTAATTGAAATCGGTGTTATTGGAATTGGGATTGTTGTCAGTGGTCAGTTTTGTTTGAGTGCTCTACTCTGGACTCGGTAAATAAGTTGCAGAGATAATCATCAGCTCACATCTTCGGACTGAACTTTTGGCCAGCTAGGCAGGCAGTCAGTCAGCCTACCAGGCAAGTGTAACTTACCAACTGACACACACAACAACAACAGCAAAAAACTCTGAAGAAGATGCACATTATTCATGAGAAAGTAGTATCTGAAGTTTATTTATTTATTTATTTATCTTACAACATACAACAATAACATCAACAACATCGGCAGCAGCAAAAGCAACATCGGTAGCTGATAAATTAATTTCTTTGTTATTTGTTGTTGTCATTGCTTTTGCCTTTCGATGTCAGTGGTTGACCATCTTGTTACCGTTTTGTATCTCTGAGATTTGGGTCAGCTTTATTTACATCATTTTATTGCGCGTTTTTTTTCGTTTCTTCGGTTTGCATGAACCTGTTCATAAGGCGAGGTAAAATTCGAGAAACAGTTTATGCTGTAACCGAGAAAAAAAGACCCATCCAAAGTTGAAGAAAAAACTTTCCATGGAAGTGGGGGAAGTTTTTTTTTCCGGTTGTGAGTTCGAAAAGAAATTGCATAAATAATTAAGTTTTCATTTTAATTGCAGTTCGCCGGGTATTTTTTTAAGTGGCTACCACCGAAGGAGAAAGAGAGAGGAAAAGTCCTTTTGTATGAAGGTATTAAAGAGCCTCTATACAGGGAGATATATAAGTTACTGGAATGGCATGAGTTTGGAGCATAACTTTGACTATTGTACGTCGATCTTAAAACAATGTTCGATTGTTTAAATATATGTTGACTTCTGTTATGATTATTGAAATTGTTGACCCTCCATGGAGTAGGTTCCGAAGGAATGGGCAAATATTGTCCATTTCGTATCGGACCTTATTACATCTGACATAAATATTGCGACGTGCCAGGTTTGGACTATATTGGATACGGAAGTTATGACAGGTAAAGTTATTTAAAATTGTGACCCTTGGTGCATGAGGTACCAGAGCAGATCTTGTGTTAGAGGCCGATGCGATTTTCGCATTCTTTGAGCGCTTTGTTTTTTGTGTGGGAGTTACCAGGAGAAATGGTCCGATCTCTTTCATCTTTATAACACATCTTATTTGGGTGGAAATATTGAGATGTACCAAGTACGAATAGAATCGGATGTTAATTTTTATGAGCTTCATTGATATTCAAAATTTTGACTCTCTGTAGGAGAGGTACCAGAAGGAGTGGCTCGATATATGCCATCTGCACAGCAAATCTTATGTTAGTACAAAAATGGAATGAAATATGAAGAGAACCGGAAGCTTATTTCGATTTTTTAATCGTTTTGGTTATTTAAAATTCTGACGATTTGTGGGGAGGGGGAGGTTCCAGAAGGAATGGTCTGATATATTTCATCTTCACACGAGATTATATGTTGATAAAAAATATTGTGATTTGTGAAACTTGAAGAGAATTGAATGCTTATTTCGCAAATTATAAGACATACAATTATTCACAATGTCGATCCTTTGTGGAGGAGGAGGTACCAGAGGGAATGGTCCGAACTCTACCATCTTTATAACAGATCTTGTGTTGATGGAAATATAGAGATGTGCCAAATCTGAAAGGAAACGGATGATAATTTCGTGTTTTATGAGTTTCAGGGATATTCAAAATTTGTATCCTTTGTGGGGGAGTAACCAGAAGGGGTAGACCGATAGATTCCATCTTCGCACCAGTTCTTGGGTTAATAAAAATATTGCGATGTATGTAATTTAAAGAAAATCGAACTCTTACATCACATTTTACAAGAGTTATAATAATTCAAAATTTTGAACCTTTGTGGGAGAGATACTTCATAGAGTGGACCGAGCACTGATGCAAATAGTAGGATTTGTAAAGTTGGAGCAGAATCGGATTATCGTCTCTCTCTCTCTCTCTGTGCAGTAAAATATTTTTTTTTTTTCGTTGATATTTTCCACCTTTGTGGTGAGGTACAGAAGGAATGGTTATTGCTCATCTGAGGTACAGAAGGAATGGTTATTGCTCATCTGCGAACTCGATCTAAGTTCGTTCATTATATTATGATGATGTACCAAGTTTTGACCAAATCGGATACTCCCCTCGAGAGTTATCGTGCGCACCAGCCAAACAGACAGACGGACATCGCTAGATTGACTCCAAATGTCCTGAAATGAATGTGGTCCAAAGAGACCTAGGGTCTTAAGCCGTTATTTCGATGAGACGCGTTTTGGACGTATCAAATTATATATAGGCTGAGGGTATAAGAAAAAAAACAAGTTAAAAACTCTTTTGATTTGTTTTAATGTTTTCCAGAATCAGGTACTTTTCTCCTTATTCTGGAGAAGTTTTTTTTAGCGAGACGGAGTTGGAAACTCAGATATTTCACCCAAATGTCCTGGTATATAGCAGTATTCTGGTTTATATAATAATGATCCCGATAATATACATTTATTTGACTTTTTGGAGGTTTCATAAAAAATCTATAATTTAGATATTACCCCCGAACTTTCTTAATAACCACACCCTGTGACCACTTTTTGGATAAGTAAGAAAAAACTACTTTTTCGGGCATTAGGCTGCAAATAACTAACTAAGGATATAATTTGGACAAAAATAGTTTTTACTAAACTTGAGTTAAGCCACATTACTATTGAACCTTTCCCGAAAAGAACTTTTGCAGAGTTTTGGTGCTGTTATAGAAGATAACCTGTTTTTCGTAACTTTTAGAATATAACCTCTTTTTTGGGGTCTTTTGTGAGAAAGCATTTTAACTCCTTCTATAAAAAAGCCTTTGGGGTCTTCTATAAGAGAGCCTTTGGGATCTACTCGAGAAGTGAGAATAACTCTAAGGTAGGAGAAGATCTTGAAAGTCTTCAAAAATAAAATTCTACTACACTACTCATGATTTATTTATTTAAATAAAAACGTACCAATGTGACCCATCTATGCCCTAATTCTGATATTGTCAGAAATATTAAAATACGAAAAGTTTATTGAATGTTGATGAAGTTGGAGTTATTTCTAATCAAAATTGAATGCTCCATTTGCTTTCTGGAGCTGGAAGCTGGTGGCCAGCTAAACGATATAGAGAAGCTGGAGGCCAACTAGTCGATGTAGACGAGTTGGAGGAAAGCTAGTCGATATAGACGACCTGGAGGAAAGCTAGTCGATCCCCGTCAGATCAGGCGGCCAGAATCTTTAAATAGATGAGGTGATATCAGAAAGGGGATTAAATTGGTGCCTTTGAGAGTTATCGTGTGCACCAGTCTGAGAGACAGGCTTTTTGGCCGTATTAAATTATATATTCTCTATATAGCAATACGGATACAAAAACTCATGTGTAGGGTTAAAACTGCAGGTAGGAGGATGTCTTAACTCCGGTTTCAGTATAAAAACCCTAATCTAAAGTTATACATACAAATGTCAAATTAAAACAACTGGCCCAAAGTGTCATGTATTTCTATCGACATTATTTCAAATTGTCATCGTTCCAAAATATAGTCATTATTAATTCAACACACATATTAATGTAGCATGAAAGTATAATTTATGATACCTTATTCCAATATTTCTTACAAATGCTGGAAGATTGTCAAAACAAGGTGCAATAATTTTCTAAGAAACCATTTCATCGAAAATTGAGTTGAAGTATCTCATTTAATATTCATTGAAAAAATACGCAATTTCATTTTTATGTCTATATCTTTGAACCCGGATACAATAAATGACATGAAACAAAATTATTTTAATATTCAATTTAATGACATGTGTAAATTTATCTAAAATCCCAGACAACGATCAGCTGTTAAAAAATCCCAAAATAAACCAATTAAAAAGCAGTATGTTTCGGCCGGGCCGATCTTTGAATACCCTCTACCATTTGGAATGAATTTGGAAATTTTCAAAAACTAAAATCCCTAAAAAAATTCTAGTAAAATTTTAAAAATACCGAATATAGCCGTTATATTGGGGTCTATACGACGTGGACCTACATAGGCATTGTTTGTCATAAGCCATTACCATATTCAAATTCGAAACTTGAAATAAATGGTGAATAATGTAGCTAAAATCATCAAAATATCGTATATATGGTGATACCTCTTATATCGGAGCTGTGCGAAGACCTGAACCAGCATGGACAATTTTCTATCATAGGCTGTAGCATCCATTACGAACTTCAAATACGACATCTCAAACAATTTCGGTTGGTATTGTACCTAAACTCGTTAAAATACCGAATATAGGGAGGTACTGATATATGGGGCTTATACGAAGACCTGGAGCTGCATAGACAATTTTCTGTCATAGGCTGTAGTATCCATTACGAACTCTAAATACGTAATTTGAAACAATTCCGGTGAATAACGACGCAAAAATCATCAAAATACCGAATATTGGGAGGTACCGTTATATGGGGGCTATACGAAGACGTGGACCTTCAGAGCTCATTTTCTGTCTTAGGCTGTAGTATCTATTACGAACTTTAAATACCAAATTTGAAACAATTCCGGTGAATAATGTCGCTAAAATCATCAAAATATGGAATATCCGGAGGTACCGTTATATGGGGGCTATATAAAAACGTGAACCTACATGCCTCATTTTCTGCCTTAGGCTGTAGTATCCATTACGAATATAAAAGACCAAATTTGAAACAATTCCGGTGAATAACGACGCTAAAATCATCAAAATACCGAATAATGGGAGGTACCGTTATATGGGGGCTATATGAAGACGTGGACCTGCACGGACAATTTTCTGTCTTAGATGGTAGTATCTATTTTGAACTTCAAATACCAAATTTGAAACAATTCCGGTTAATAATGTCGCTAAAATCATCAAAATACCGATTATCGGGAGGTACCGTTATATGGGGGCTATATGAAAACGTGAACCTACATGGCCCATTTACGAACTTAACCTGCCTATTGTAAAAAAAAACATGTGTGCAAAATTTTAGCCTTCTATTTTAATTCGTTCGAAAGATAGCGTGATTGAAACAGACGGACAGACCGACAGACAGACAGACAAACATCGACTTTGAATTTTACGCTGATCAAGAATATATATACTGTGTTGGGTCTGACCTGAGTATTTCGAGGAGTTACAAACGGACTGACAAAGTTAATATACCCTCCATAGTATGGTGGAGGGTATAAAAACAAATTATTAAATATAGTACGCAAAGCTCGACAAAGAAATGCATTTCATTCAAATCGAGTTTGAGTCAGCTGGCAGAAGAAAAGCTGAAGCGGGTGTCAACATTTGGTAACGATTTGAAATTAACGAGCAACAGAAACCAAATATCAAAATATTGAAATCACGATCAATGGGCAGAGTCATGTGCACTGCGGCGCTGCAGCCAGCCAGACAGAAAGAGTGACAGACAGTCAGACATACAAAAACAAATGACAGACCGGTAGCCAATACATATTTTCAATGAGTTAATTTAAATGTTTTGTTTATAAAAACAACAACAACAACAACAAACACTATGCAATAAAACATATCGTCATATGCCGAAGTATCAACGGTCAACTTAGCCAATTACAGGCGACAACAACAACAAAAACAATAAGAAATTATTTCATTTCTTTTTTTGTTGGCTCTTCTTTCTTCCGTCCATCCAGCCAACAACTATTTGGCCACTCATCGCACCACACGGCGCATTACGCACCCGGGACAGACGACCGTTGGCATTGAAGTACCCACAAACGACCCGCTCTGTTTTGACCAACGCCACTACCAAAAAAATCTAAAAAAAAAAAACTTAAAACAAAAACACAATATCGTCGTTAATTTTTGGCCCTAACGTAATAACTTCATTGGCTTAGTCTGCATTGAACTCGGCCAGCGGATTGACAAGCTCCACACTAACCAAATACCGTTCGAACCGTTCGAACGCAAGCAAAAGAAATCGAAAAAATAAAACAACGTGCACTAAAATAAGTAAAAAAAAAAAATAAATAATTTCACTTTTGAATAATCGAATTGAAATTTAAATACAAAAGCAAGGAAAGTGCAGTGTTGAATAGAAGTTGAATTTTTGTTGCAAAGAATAGAAATTTTCGAAAAAAAAAATTAAAAATATTTCTCAAATGCTGTTGTTTAAAAAATGCAATCCTTTAACATTGTTGTTATATTGTCTGATATTGAATTGTGTACTTACCTTGACAAGATGTCAGTTCATCATCGACGAAGATGAGGACGACAGCAATGAGGATGAAACGCCAGAGGAGAGAGCTGAAAGAAAAAGCATTGAAGAGGATTCTTATTTAACTGTGGTAAGTTGGAAGTAACAAAATTTTATGGCAGTGTCAGCCCAAATTGCTATAACTTAAATCGCGAAAATAGGTGATCGGTAGAGGCTAGAGCCCTGAATTTTTGTAAATGAAAACAACTAAAAAAGCTGTAAGTTCGGCCGGGCTGAACTTTTAATACGCTCCACCATTTGGTACAAATTTGGCAATTTCCAAAAAAAAATAAAATAAAATCCGTTAAAAATTCTGTTAAAATCTTAAAAATTCCGTAATGCCTATACGATGACTTAGATCTGCACGGGCAACTTTTGTCATAAGTTATTACATTATTAAAATGTGGAACTTGAAGAAAAATCAGTTTATAATGTAGTTAAAATCATCAAAATACCGAATATAGGGGGTACCGTTATATGGGGGCTATACGAAGATGTGGACCTGCACAGACAATTATCTGGCATGGGCTGAAGTATCCATTACGAACTTCACATGCGAAATTTGAAACAATCCCGGTAAATAATGTCGTAAAATCATCAAAATACCGAATATCGGGGGGGTACGGTATATGGGGACTATACGAAGACGTGGACCTGCACAGATAATTTTCTGTCTTAGGCTGTAGTATCCATTACGAACTTCAAATGCCAAATTTGAAACAATTCCGGTGAATAATGTCGCTAAAATCATCAAAATAACGAATATCGGGAGGTACGGTTATATGGGGGCTATAAGATAACTTGGACCTACATGGCCCATTTACGAACTTAACCTGCCTACTGGCAAAATATACATGTGCGCAAAATTTGAGCCTTCTGTCTCAATTTGTTCGAAATATAGCGTGATTACAACAAACAGACAGATGGACAGACAGACGGACATGGCTAAATCGTCTTAGAATTTTACGCTGATCAAGAATATATATACTTTGTTGGGTCTGACATGAGTATTTCGAGGAGTTACAAACGGAATGACAAAATTAATATACCCTCCAGAGAATGGTGGAGGATATAAAAAGGGGCTAAATATTGATATTAGATGGTCGATTAGAATTAGAAATTCCAATTTTGGACACAGTATCATCGTGACATTCGAGGTCGTCGAATGGATATTATGAGTTTGAGGGACTTAGAGACCAAATCGGATGAAACATATATATGGGAACTATAGCTATATCTGAACCTATTTTTTCTGTACCTGCTTCTAGACTGAATTCGGTCGCATGTACCGAAATTCAGGACTTTTGGATAGATATTAGCCATTAGGAGCACAATTAACACAAAATCGTTTGAAGATATATGTATGGGAGCTAAATCCAAATCTGAACCGATGTCGATTAAATTTGGCAGAGGAATTTCCGAGGTCTATTTAATTTAATTGCTTCTAGACTGAATTTGGTTGGATGTGCCAAAATTTGTACTGATATTGGCCATTTGGTGCACAAGAAAGATATTTGATACCAAACATCATTCTTGTAGGGTGCATATTACGAATGTGGGGGGACTTAAATACCTAATCGGATGAAACATATATATGGGTGCTATAAATCGGGGACTCCGATCGAGGACTCCTCTCCTCTTATAGTTCATTATGGTACCCCTACAAATGGAAAAAAAAATGCAATATTATAAATATTGCATTGCATTCAAAATAGGAATATCGAAGCATTTTTATCAGGGCTATATCAATATCGGCTAACTTCAACCACAAATTCGAATAATCATTACTCTCGCAAAAAATCGACATAAAACAAAACGATTTTCAGAACAGTGTTGGCATATTTGTTCGGAATACCGTAACACTTTGTTTTCGCGAAATAGTAAGGCTGTTGTTTGTTGTTGTTATATTTTCTACAAATTTTGCACCTATAAATACTTGTATCAGTACCAGATCTTAAGCAAAAATAGGCAATGTCGATCCACCCTCACCCACGAATGTTCACAATTTTGCAAAAACCAAAGCAGTAAGTTCGACCGTCCCGAAAAATACCGAATTCAGGGAGTTACCTTTATATGGGGGCTATACAATGTCCGTTTCAGGAAATTTGGAATCGATCTAGCGATGTCCGTTCATCCGTCTGCCTGGCTGGTGCGCACGATAACTCTCGAAATGAGTATTCGAATTGATCCAAACTTGGTATATCGTAGTATTATTGTCAAAGTTACACCGAGTTCGGTGATGGGCAATGTCGGCATCCTTCTGGTTCCTACCCCACAAAGGGACAACATTTTGAATATCCATGGAGCTTATAAAAAGCGAAATTAACATCAGATTCCATTCCAGTCTTGGTACATTTCAATATTTCCATCAACACAGGATTTGTTATAAAGATGATAGAGATCGAACCATTTCTTCTTGTACCTATCCCACAAATTTTCATATTCATATTTTGATATTGAAAATTTTGACCCTTTGTGCGGGAGGTGCCTAAAGCAGTGGACCGATTTATACCATCTTCGCAGCATTTCTTGTTTTAGTAGAAATAAAGGGAATGTGTGAAATATGAAAAGAACCGGATGCTTATTTCGGATTTTATAATTGTTTTTGTTTAATCAAGCGTTGGTTTTTTGTGTGGGAGGTGCCAGAAGGAATGGTCCGATCTTTACCACATTTTTAGGAGATCTTGTGTTGATAAAAATATTGAGATGTGACAAGTCTGAATGGAATTGGGTGTTAATTTCACTTTATATGAGCTTCATGGATATTCAAAATTGTGACCCATGGTGGGGAAGGTACCAGAAGCAGTGGACCGATATATTCCATCTTCACACCAAATAAATATATGAACACAATCGGACACTTACATCACATTTTTTTTTTTTTTTTTTTGAGTTTTAATTATTCAAAATTTTGATCCTTTTTGGAGGAGGTACTCGATAGAGAGGACCGATCTGCCGGCCGTCTGTCCATGTTTAAAAATTAAAAATCTTCAACTCCACGTCGCTCAATACCGTTGGCAATTTCCATTACGAGATCGAAATATAAATATGGCTTCCATTTAACTGCGTCATTCGATTTGAGAATTAGGGCTACTCAAAGTCCAAAGTAAAGAAGCGACTAGATCGAAACCCGCGTTGCAGTGGCCGAAAAATTGATCGTGAGCTGAACATATCGCAATTCCAATTCCATTCGGCAAATATTGAAAAATGAGCTCGGGGTAAAGCCATTGAAATTACAAAAAGTGCAAGAACTTACACCGCAACGGAAAAAGCTAAAGAGTTACTTCGCTTTGTCGAAAGTAGTGAACTGCCGAATTTGGTTTTCTCCGATGAGAAAATATTCGTGTAAACAAACAAAATTATCGTGTTTACTTGTCAAAGAGGTCAGCTAAAAATGTGCACCTTCGGTTGGCCAACAGAAGTCAAGTGCCGGCCATGATGATGGTTTGAGCCGCCAAAACAGCCGATGGTCGCTCTCCGCTCGTATTAATCGACCGTGGCATCAGAATAAATGCCGAAGTTTGTCACTAAGAAATACCAAAGCGTCGATTACCTCAAGCAAGCGTTTCGCCGGGAATGGGCCAAAATACCGTTTGAAGGCCATAATTCGTGCCAAAGGTGACACATTCGAAAAAATCTAAATTTATTCTATAGATTGATGCCATTTCCGAGATTTTTTGCTTCCATTCAAAAAAATTAAAACACAAAATGTAAAAATTATGCCGTTTGACTTTGTTGCAGTTTTATCATCTCACCCTGTATTAACTTTTTTATTCCGTTTTTTTTTTTTATATTGTAGTCGAACGAATTGAGATAGAAGGCTAAAATTTTGCATACATGCATAGTTTACCTGTAGACAGGTTAAGTTCGTAAATGTCGGTCCATGTCGGTTCACGTCTTCGTATAGCCCCCATATAACGGTACCTCCCGATATTCGATATTTTCATGATTTTGGCGACATTGCTTACCGGAATTATTTCAGATTTCGTATTTGAAGTTCGTAATCGGTGCTACAGCCAATGACAACAATGCAGCTCCACGTCTTTGTATAGCCCCCATATGACGGTACCTCCCAATATTCGGTATTTTTATGATTTGTGCGACATTATTCACCGAAATTGGAACAAATTTCGTAATGGGTACTACAGCCTATGACAAAAAAAAATTGGTATGTAGGTTTACGTTTTCGTAACCCCCCATAAAACAGTACATCCCCATATTCCGTATTTTGATGATTTTAACGACATTATTCACCGGAATTGTTTCAAATTTGGTATTTGAAGTTCGTTTGGGTACTACAGACTATGACAAAAAATTTCATAAGCAAGCCCACGTCTTTGTATAATCTCCATATAACAGTTTTCATTTATGTGATAGTTTTGGGAAGTTTTTTGAAGCTTTTCATGCTCCTTCCAAATGGTGGAGGGTATTAAAAGTTTATCCCGGCCGAACTTATGTGCCTTTTTACTTGTTTTTTTTTTCGACTGCAAAATTACCAGGCTTATAAAATTGAGATTTGACTCCACAACCTTGGTAAAAAAATTCCGAATTTGTATTTTTCTAATGGCTTTTTGTCATTGTTGAGGGTATATAAATTCTGAAATAATTATAGTATTATGAGAGATATTGGCCAAAAATATCTTACAGTATTATGAAACATTTTGCCAACTCTAAATATGGCATTGCAACTTAAATACAGTAATTCACACGGAATGTGTATACAAATTATGAAAAGCACAGTTCTTTAATGCCAAGGTTAAAATATGTGTATGAAAACGATATTAATTTCTTAATGGAATAACTTTTCCTACCTACCTCCAATTTTATTCAACTGAATGATTTCCAAAAGAAAAAAATCTGCATTTCGTTGCTGCAATTATTTTCGTAAATAAATATCCGCCGAACGAAACGCCACTCCAAAAATTTGCCAGTAACAGACAACAAATATTCATATTCATCAGAATCGGAATCGGAATCCAAGGCAGACATGCCGTATTTTATTATTGTTGTCCTCTTTTTATTTTTATGTTTTCATCTTATTTAAATATTTTTCTTTTCTTCCGCATGCAACACCACCAAATACCAACAATATTTGCCATTGTAATTTTCCCTCCGCCAACAATAACAAGGATAAATTAATTGCTAAATATGGCTATCCGACTGAAGTGCATCAAGTTACCACCGAAGATGGTTACATTCTGACAATGCATCGCATACGCGGCAAGCAAGGAGCCCAGCCATTCTTTTTGCAGCACGGTCTTGTTGACAGTTCGGCGGGTTATGTTGTAATGGGCCCCAATGTGAGTTTGGGTAAGTAATGACTGTTCTCTCTTTTTTGCGTTTTGGGTTCATTTAATGGTAATATTCAAGAAATCTCAAAAAGGGACAAAAATGTTCCTATCCACACAGAGAAATGATTGTTCCCTTTGTTCTGATGCTGTAAAAATTAAAAAGGATTATATTTTTCACCCATATCGTTTCAAATGTTCCACTGGGTTCAGGTACAATGGCGCGGCAAAATGTTGAAAATATTTCGCCTGCACTTAATCGGTGTCTTTGTTTGAACAGCAGCACAATCGTTAACAACACCACCACCACTACGGAGGGATGGATCTGGCCACAACAGCAACCTCATTTCATCGATAGATAGATAGACGCTTGCTTCGAAACTCAAGCCGTATCATTAAGTTTAAATGTCTTCTGTCGGCTTCCGTCCGTTTATTCGCCAGTCCGTCCGTCCCTCCACCAGTCCCTCGTCGTTCATTCATTCAGAATCATTTTATAATTTGATGTTGAGTAATTCCTAAGATAAACATAGATTAATTACTTCCACGCATAATGGAGAATGAATGAAACGCCTGAATGATGCTGCGGTAAGGACAACAGAAGGCTTCGTTCGCCGCTGTTGTTTGATGTCTGCAACAAATTGCAAGGATTAAAATGTATTGTTGAGAGCAGAACGAGAGAGTGTGTGTAGTTTATGGCTTTCAATTAAACGTAAAGTAGTTGTTATAGTTGTGAGTATGCGGATGTGTGTTTGTGTGGGTGAGAGCGAATGCTGGGAATACCCATTTGGAAGAAAGGATGCCATGGACACCGTATAACTATAAATTGGATGCTCTAGCTCTATAGACGATATAAACGAGCTGGAGGAAAGCTAGTCGATATAGACAAGCTGGAGGCCAGCTGGACTTTATAGACGAGCTGGAGGCCTGCTGGTCTTTATAGACAAGCTGGAGACCAGCTGGTCTTCATAGACAAGCTGGAGACCAGCTGGTCTTTATAGACGAGTTGGAGACCAGCTGGACTTTATAGACGAGCTGGAGGCCAGCTCGGTCGATATATTCGAGCTGGAAGTCAGCTCGGTCGATATAAACGAGTTGGAGGCCAGCTCGGTCGATATAGACGAGCTGGAGGCCAGTTCGGTCGATATAGGCAGGCTGGAGGCCAGCTGGTCAATATAGACAGGCTGGAGGCCCAGCTAGTCGATATAGATAAGCTGGAGGCCCAGCTAGTCGATATAGATGAGCTGGAGGCGAACTAGTCGAAATAGATGAGTTCGAGGCCCAGCTAGTCGATATAGACAAGCTAGAGGCCAGCTCGGTCGATATAGACAAGCTAGAGGCCAGCTGTTTGATATATACAAGCTAGAGGCCAGCTCGATCGATATAGACAAGCTGGAGGCCAGCTCGGTCGATACAGAGTAGCTGGAGGCCAGTTCTGTCGATATAGACAAACTGGAGGCCAGTTCGGTCGATATAGACGAGCTGGAGGCCAGCTCCGTCGATATAGACAAACTGGAGGCCAGCTCGGTCGATATAGGCGAGCTGGAGGCCAGCTCGGTCGATATAGACAAGCTGGAGGCCAGCTCGGTCGATATAGACAAGCTGGTGGCCAGCTCGGTCGATATAGACAAGCTGGTGGCCAGCTCGGTCGATATAGACAAGCTGGTGGCCAGCTCGGTCGATGTAGACAAGCTGGAGGCCAGCTGGTCTTTATAGACAAGCTGGAGGCCAGCTCGGTCGATATAGACAAGCTGGTGGCCAGCTGGTCTTTATAGACAAGCTGGAGGCCAGCTCGGTCGATATAGACAAGCTGGTGGCCAGCTCGGTCGATGTAGACAAGCTGGAGGCCAGCTGGTCTTTATAGACAAGCTGGAGGCCAGCTCGGTCTTTATAGACAAGCTGGAGGCCAGCTCGGTCGTTATAGACAAGCTGGAGGCCAGCTCGGTCGATATAGACAAGCTGGAGGCCAGCTCGGTCGTTATAGACAAGTTTTAGGCCAGCTCGGTCCTTATAGACAAGTTTTAAGCCAGCTCGGTCGTTATAGACAAGTTTTAAGCCAGCTCGGTCGTTATAAACAAGTTTTAGGCCAGCTGGTCTTTATAGACAAGCTGGAGGCCAGCTCGGTCGATATAGACAAGCTGGTGGCCAGCTCGGTCGATGTAGACAAGCTGGAGGCCAGCTGGTCTTTATAGACAAGCTGGAGGCCAGCTGGTCGTTATAACAAGCTTTAGGCCAGCTTGTCGATATAGACAAGCTTTAGGCTAGCTTGTCGATATAGACGACCTCGAGCCCAGTTTGTCGATATAGACGAGCTGGAGGCCAGCTAGTCGATAGAGACTACCTGAATGCTTTTAACTTTTGCATTAGTTCCATGCACAAGTGGGAATTCAAATGCTGTTATATGTGAATCTGTTTGTATGAGTATGTGTAGGTGTTCGCCAATTTATCTTTAGCCATGAAATTTGATTTGCGTGGTAATGAAGAACTTCTCCATTTAAAATGTTAGCAGAAAATGGCAAAGTGCTTAAATATGCACATAATTTGCAGCTTTCTAGAAAAATGACAAGACTACGATACTTAGCTTTCCAGCACCTTTTTGGGAGCCTTTCGGTTATAGGAGATACCAGAAAGTGTGGGCCGAAAAGTCCAAATTGCAATTGATGGAATTGTATGGAATTTTCAAGACTTCCTGATTAAAATTCGTTGATTAATAATTAAAAAAAATCCTCTTGACAAAAATTGATGCCGAAATTTGCGGATTTAATGATTTCCTCCATGTCTTTCTGGACATAAATCGAGTATGTTTTAGGTATATTGTTCAAGTACTCCCTGGTCTCTCGCTCGTCCGAACCAAAATTCTTGGATTATTAAGGTGCATTTTTCCAAGGTCCTGCATACTAAAAGCAGTTCCTCGTGACCCTCAAAATTCGTAGATTGAAAACAAGGTAATCCTGATTTATAATCGTGGTTTTTTAAGTGTCGTCCTGACTATAATTCGTGATTTTTTTTTTCAGAATTATTTTTTAACAAAATTCCTGAATTTTTTAACGAAAATTTGTGACTTTAAAGAATAAAAATGTTCTTCTGACTGCATCTCTTTTCGCGAAAAAAGTCCTTCTAACAAAAGTTCGTAGACTTTTCAAGGAACATTATTTTACCCGAAATTGACGGATATAGACATTTAAAGACATTCAGACATAAATTCATGAATTTTTAATGAGAATTCGTTGAAGACCCTCCTGCCAAAAACTCGTAAAGTTTTTTTATTGTTATTATTTATATTGCCCTCCTGACCGAAATTTATTGATATTTTATTGTGCAAGAAATAAAAAAATTCGGGGACCTCTCGACCAAACCCAGTTGATTTTTTTAGAATATTTTTAATATAACCGTGGAAAATAACAGTGAATTTTTTGAGAATTATTTTTTCAAGGACCTGCTGACTAAAATTCGTTAGATTTTTAAAGAAAACTGTGCAAAATTCAAACTACCGAAATTCATTGCTCTTTTAGGACTATTTTTAAAAATCTTCTCGAAATGATTCCTTAAATAAAAATTGTTAACGTCCTTGATATGTTTAATATTTAATGAAAATGTTATCAAGGATCTTTATAATTTGGGATAAAGAACCTTGATAGGATATTTTTTAAACTATTTTTTATATGGTCTTGGATTTTATAAACAATTTTTTAACAAAATTTTCAAAGTCCTCCTGATCAACATATTTTGATTATTTGTAAGAAAATTGCTTAAGATCCTCCTGACAATAATTCGTGCACTTTTTTAAACAATTTATTTCACAGTCGTTACGAAAATATGTAAAAAAATACCTAAGTATTTAATTTAGACCAAAAATTATAATTTTTTAAGAAAAAAAATCATTGTCCCTGTTAGAAAATTGGGGACTCAGAAGATCAAAATGACTGGTATTTTTTTCAGAAACATTTTTCCAATCAAAATTCGCGATGTGACTTAAATCTATATTTTTTTTAACATTTTTCATTTAACATTTCTCTATCTGGTGAGGAGGGCTTACGAATAACTCTCTCTTTAAAATTCCAAAAGTTTGAGAAATTGTCTCTTTTCTAAAATTCACTGTTTTTTCCAAAGAAACATTTTTCAAGTTCAACCTGAAATTGCTCCGAGATACTTCTAAAAAAATTCTTCTATCCACAACCCTGATTTTTTTCAGAATTTTCTGCGAAATTTTGAATGGAAACAATTATAAAGTCTTTCTTAACAAAATTCGTGGATATTTAATTTATTCTTCCAGTCTGCATTCTTATTTAAAAGAATATCAATTCAGATTCTCCTAACCAAACTTAGTCGATTTTTTCAAAGTTTTTTTCAATTCCCTCCAAAAAACGTTAATACTGTAAGAGTTTTCCAAAAACCTCCTGATAAAAATCCGTCTTTTTTTTGAAGAACTCCTGATTTATAAAAAATTACAGAGTCTTTGCAATGACCCTCAAAGACACTGAATTTTGAAAAAATCTATTTTCAAAATATTGGTAGTAAATAATAGAGGATTTTTTCTGGATTTTTCAGAGTTCCGTTCAAATTTTCCAGACCAATTAATTATGGACATTATATATATTTTTTTAATGGAAGAAAATTGTGATTTTTTAAGAAAAAAAAAAAACAAAGGACCATAGCTAGTGTTTTTTTTTTTTTTTTTGTTTTTTTCTTAAATACACAATTTCCTCAAGGATCCCCAAACAAAATTGTACATTTTTTCAAGAATTTTCTTGGCAAAAATCATTGAATATATTTTCATGAAAATGTTATCAGGATTGAATAATTATATATTCTCAAAGATTTCCAAACAAATTATTGAGTACTCTTCAAGACTTATTTTATTCCAAGTTGTTGTACGAAAATGTAATGAACGATACAATATTCATGATATTTCTGGCTTAAAAAATCGTGGTTTTTCACAATGTTTTTTTAAGAATATTCCCCAAATTTTATAAATATTAAATACCTATTTGTATAAACATACGTATATAAATGATGATATATTGTAGTTATGTATATGCCACCAAACAGACAGATTCTTTGAAATTCTAGGACTACTAAAAACAATACAACACTTCAGATTACCATTGGTTCATTAATTAACTTCTCATTTTTTTTCCAAATTTCCAGCCTACTTGCTAGCCGACAATAATTACGATGTTTGGTTGGGTAATGCCCGAGGTAATCGTTATTCGCGAAATCACACCACCCTGGATCCGGATGGCAAGAAATTTTGGGAATTCAGCTGGCATGAGATCGGAATGTACGATTTACCCGCCATGATTGATTATGTCCTGAAGACTACCGGGTTCAAGAGGATCCAGTATGCCGGACATTCTCAGGTAAGTCAATCACCAGGGATAAAAGTCACTTTTACAGAAAAACAATAATTTTGTTTTTCTTGCAGGGCTGCACGGCATTTTTTGTAATGTGTTCCATGAGACCTGAGTACAACAAGAAGATAATTATGATGCAGGCTTTGGCGCCGGCCGTCTATGCCAAGGAGACCGAGGAGCATCCCTACATTAGGGCCATAAGTTTGTATTTTAATGTAAGTTTGGAGGGTGGATTTAGAAGTTGAGAAGACCCTGAACTAGGGACACTCAAAAGAAAATTCCGACTGAACCATTTACTTTGATATTGAAGAGCCTGAAAGTCGATTTTTACATTTTCCTGTAACAAACCAGTAAGGAAAGTCTTAAAGTTGGGCGGACCGACATTATGATACCCTACACCACTTTGCTCATTTAGTAGAGCTCCACTTAACAACTAAAAGTTTTTTCAATCATGATTTTTCAACTATGATTATAATTATAATTTAAAGTTCAAAGGACTAAATATGCCGAAGCATTTGTATCTTTTAAATTCGGACTTGTATTGCCCACTTGGTGCACAATTAATTTGAAATCGGATAAAAATATATATGGGAACTATATCCAAATCGGAACCGATCTCAATTAAATTTGGCAAAGATATTTCTGAGCTGTATTTGATATATTTCCCTGAATATCGTTGTTACGGAGTGCATATTACGGCTGTGGGTAACAAATATAACAAATCGGATGAACAGTATATATGGCAGCTATAGCTATATCTGAACTCATCTTCACCTTCACATCTTCATTTGACATACTAGCTTCTAGACTCAATTCGGTCGTAAGTGGCAAATTTCATCCCATTTGGAAAAATATTAGACGTTTGGTGCACAATGAGAGGTCAATCGGATGAAGTTATATATGGAAGCTATATCCAAATCTGAACCGATTTCGATAAAATTTTGCAAATGTATTTCTGAGCTGTATTTGATATATTTCCCCAAATAATGTTATTACAGAGTGCATATTACAGCTGCGGAGGACAAAAATAACAAATCGGATGAACAATATATATGGGAGCTATAGCTATATCTGAACCGATTTCGATCAAATTTGGCATTCTTATTTTCAGGCCTAATTTGGTTGTATGTGCAAAATCCTACTATTCGGGCTGATATTACACGTTTGGTGCACAATAAAAGGCAAAGCGGACGAAGATATATATGGGAGTTATATCTAAATTTTGACCGATTATCTCCAATTTGAATTATCTCCAATAATAAATGCGACCTGCATTTTGTTCACAAGAATACATGGACAGACGGACGGACAGACGGACGGACGGACATGCATAAATCGACTCAGAATGTGATTCTGTGCATATTCATCAAAAGGAACTATGAGTCGATCTCGTTGCCTTTTTGCCTTTTACAAACAAATGCACAAAGACATTATACCCTGACTTCCTTGTGGTGTAGGGTATAAAAATGGAAAAATTATCGATTTTGAGATAATATTTTTCCCAACTCTTCATTTTCATGGGAGCCTAAAAATATGCAACAATTGACGTTTTTATCACATTTTTTTCAATACTTCCCAAAATCGATCTTATTATCTGTTGGAAAAACTTAAAAAAAAATCGACTTTAGTCGATTTATATTCGAAAAATCAAACATCGATTTCTGACCGGCTGTGTAAAATCGAAAAATTCAAAGGTTGACCTATTTTACCGCAGGCAAAAATCGAAGAGTCTAAGAGACGAGTTTAGTTTTCAATACGCATCTCTATACTAAAGGTAATCATTTTTCATTTCAGACATTAGTTGGCAGTTCCATAACCGAAATGTTCAATGCCGAGTTTCGCTTCCTGTGCCGCATGACCGAAGAAACTGAACGGCTATGTATTGAGGCTGTGTTTGGTATTGTGGGTAGGAATTGGAATGAGTTTAATAGGGTAAGTGAAACAAAAATAAAAAAAATAATTAAAATTAATGGTTCCTTTCTTTTTACAGAAAAAATTCCCCATAATCTTGGGCCACTATCCGGCCGGTGTTGCCGCCAAACAAGTCAAACATTTCATTCAAGTAATCAAGACGGGTAAATTTGCTCCCTACAGCTATAGTACTAACAAAAACATGCTGTTGTACAAGGAACGTGAACCGCCTCGGTATAACTTGACAGCGGTAACTGTCCCAACCTATGTTTATTATTCGAAAAACGACTTGCTCTGTCATCCGGCCGATGTTGAGGATATGTACAGGGACTTGGGTAGACCGATTGGAAAATATTTGGTACCCCAGAAGGAATTCAATCACATGGACTTTTTGTGGGCCATCAATGTAAGGCGTTTGGTTTATTCTCGAATGTTGAAGGTATTGGGTAAGGTGAAAGATCGCCGAGACAATGTCAGTGTGTACCCGACACCGAAGGATATTGAAATTCCGGAGCTGAATTCCAAGGAATTGGAAAGTGATTGAGAGAGAGGGGAGGAGGAGGAGGAGAAACCTCAAACATAATAGGAACTTAAGTATTTATTTTTGTAGGTAATAAGTATTTATTTATTATTTATTAAAACGAAATATTTATAAGTTTATAAATTACAAAATTAAATTAATTAAAAAATTAAAAAAAATTCAAGGTAATAGAAGACATAAAAAATCACGCCAAACAAGACAACCCTTTAAAATGTCTTCTAACAATAGAAGATATTAAAGCAAGTTATATAAAGATAAGAGATCCCTTAAGGCTTTAAAGAGGGTTTTTCTACAAAAAAGGGGTCTCAAACCTAAAAAAAACTACTCCTTTTCAATTTCTTCAAGGAAAATTTAAATTGGTGTAATCCAAAAAAATACCAAAAAATTAAAACTCAACCTCAAACTAAATAATGACGAAAAAGTTCTTTGGCTGTTACTCCACTCGTCGCTTTTTTGCTGCAACTATAACAACAAACATTATGAGCCAAGGAAAGGCATTCAAAAAATCTAGTTTTGTTACTCAGAAATAAGTTACAAATTAATGATTTCCTTCTTCGTTTTTTTTTTTTCTTCATTCGACTCTGTTGAACTTTTTTATTCTTTTATATTTTCTGGTTGTTAATTTTCCGATTGAAATTTTGTCAAGAAGCAACCTTTTTTTTTGAGTTACTTAAAGTTATTTTATGCGGAATAAAATGCAAAAGAAATCATTAAGCAAAAATATACGAAATAATAAAAATTGTATATTCTGGCAAGCAGAACTTTTTCAGCCTAAAAGAAAAAGAAATGGATTTTTTAAAAGTCTAACATTTCAAATCATTATTAACACAACAACTACAAGTAAGGGCCTACGACATATAGTTGACAGTTTTTCATGGCATATATATATATATATATATATATATATATATATATATATATATATATATATATATATATATATATATATATATATATATATATATATATATATATATATATATATATATATATATATATATATATATATTATATATATATATATATATATATATATATATATATATATATATATATCGAAATCACGATACAGCCCACATTATTTGATGTAGAACATCAACATTTGGCAGAACAATTTGTATTGGATCTAGGATGGTTGGTATTGAAAATGAGATATATCGGTTCACGTTTTCGTATAGCCCCCACATAACGGAACCTCCCGATATTCGGTGTTTCGATTATTTTCGCCAAATTTTTTACGGATTCGTCTCAAAAATGGTCTTTGTAGTTCGTTATGGATTCCAGCTCCGGTGGCGGAACATTGTATGTTTAGATCCACGGTTTCACATAGCACATATACAGGGTAAGATGAAAAAACTACAACAAAGTCAAACGCCATATTTATTTTTTTTGTTTTTTTAATTTTATTGAATGAAAGAAATAAATGTGGGAAATATCATGAAATGTTAGAATAAGTTTAGACTTGTTCGAATTGGTCACCTTCAGCACGAATTATGGCCTTCAAACGCCCAATGAAACCGTCATACGCTGCCCGAATGTTGCTATGCGTTATTTTGCCCCATTCCCGGCGAAACGCTCCCTTGAGGTGATCGTCATTTAGGTTTTTTTAGTGCCAACCTTGCTTTCCAAAATACTCCAAACACAATAGTCCAACGGATTAGTATCCGGAGATTTTGGTGGCCATTGTGAGCTGGAAATGAAGCGAGGAACGTCATTTTGTAATCATTCTTGGGTGGCGCGTGCTGGATGCAATGGTACTGAGTCATGTTGGAATGTCCAAAGTTTTGGGGCAAAATGTTTTGCGTGCCTAAGGCTTTAATACACCCTGCAGAATATTTTCGCGTTAATATTGGGCATTCATTCTGATGCCACGGTCGATTAATACAAGCGGAGAGCGACCATCGGCTGTTATTGCGGCCCACATCATCACACATGGACGGCCCTTGAGTTCTAGTGACCAACCGGAGGTGCATATTTTCAGCTGACCTCTTTGGCAAGTGAACACGATCATTGTGTCATGTTTACAAACTACTGGACAACGAATGTTTTCTCATCAGATAAAACCAAATTTGGCAGTTCACCACTTTCGGCCAAGCGAAGCAACTCTTTAGCTCTTTTGAGTCTATTTTCTTTCTGTTGCCTTGTAATCTAAAAATTTTTGAAAGGAGAGAACAAGCCTGTCGAGATATCAATTAGTGTACCTGTAGCGAATATTTTTTTGCAGGAAAAGAACAGTCCTACCAAGAACCCCAATTGTTAAGTTTCAGCTAATTTGGTTGAAATTTGGGGCAGAAACCTTCACAATACTGAGAATCTGGAGATAAAATTACATAGACTCATATATAGCCTCTTCTTAATAGCAATAAGGCTCAATAGCTCTAGGTTCAATATCGCGATTACAACAGACTGATGGGCAGACAAAGGACATCGTAAAATCGCCTTATAATTTCATTTTTAACAGGAATATATATACTTTTTGGGGTCTGTGACGAATATTTCGAAATATTTAAAACTAAATGACAAATTAAATATACCCTCCATTGTAAGGTGGAGGGTATTAAAATGTAGCGGTGAAAGGCTCCGAAAAAATCGGAAATTTTATTACCAACAAGTAAAAAATTAGTAAGTTCGGCTGGGCCGAACTTTGAATACCCTCCACCATTTGGAACGAATTAGGACATTTTCAAAAAATAAAAATAAAATCCATTAACAATTCTGTAAAAATCTCGGAAGGTGCCGACATATGAGGGGATAAACGATATTGTGGACCTATATATACAAATCTATGTCGAGGGATAAAGTACTCACAAATAACTCCTTGTATAGAATTTAAGGCAATTCCGTTTGAAAATGTGGCTAAAATCATCAAAATACCGAATATGAGGGGGTACCGTTATATGGGGGCTATACGATATCGTGGACATTTATAATTCTCTGCCAAGAGATAAAGTGCTCCTACAGAACTACTTGTGTGGATTTTCATACAATTCCAATAAAAAATGTGGCTAAAATCATCAAAATAACAGATATCGGGGGTACCGTTATATGGGTGCTATACGATAACGTGGACCGATATAGCCCATCTTCGAACTTGACCTGCCTGCAGACAAAAGAGAGATCTGGTCAAAATTTTAGCTTTTTATCTTAATTCGTTTAGCCTGTAGCGTGATAAGGAGAGACGGAAAGACGGACGGACGGACAGGGCTAAATCGTCTTAGAATTTTACGCTGATCAAGAATATATATACTTTGTTGGGTCTAAAGTGATTATTTCGATGAGTTACAAACGGAATGACGAACTTAATATACACTCCATACTATGTATGGTGGAGGATATAAAAAGACGTGGTTACGCGATCCCTCCATAAACGCGGGAACTGATAAACGGTTTAATTTTGTTAGGTAAATAGAATAGAAGATCCCTAAAAGGACTTGCAAAACATGTGTTTTGAGGGAAAATCAAACAAGTGGATATTAATCTTAAATTTTTCCTAATCACTAAATCGATTTTTATGAAATACAAATTAAAAGAAACTTTACTGGTCAAAAAAAGGAATTACAAAAATTCTCTGTCCGTTTAAAAGTCGCACATTTTGACAAGAAACCCTATTTTCAACCATTACACATCGGGCAAAAAGTCATGGGTTAAGGTGCTTACACCATAGTTATTGTATGGGGCATTGGGTGAGACTTCTCCTACTGAGAGATTACGTAAGGACTTTTGCCAGACGCGATGTTACCCTTAGACTGGAAGGATATATTCAGAGTGGCAATTAGATAGATAGATTGAAGGTTTTAGTAACATTAGTAACAAAATTCATAGATTTTGTGGCGGTCTACCTTCAAGAGGTATATAGTAAAATCCTTCAAAAGTTCAGATAACAAAGACATCAGGATGGCATCAGTACATAAAATCCCCAAGACGAATCTTACCTACTTCAACGTTCTTCTCCTCACTATCCAATTTGCAGCTACCGTCTAAGCTGATCCATTCACGTGCATTACAAATAATTGCCAAGTTAGCATTAATTACAAAATGTGTCTACAAAGTTTTTTTCGCCACATTGACGATGTGTGTGCGTCTGGGCAAGTATGTATGTATGTGAGTGTGTGTCTCTATTGCCTGATAACTTAATTTTCTCCACAGAGATTTTCTAATTAAGTCGTTATTGTTGTAAAGAATAGAATAAATGCTAAAATAAGCGAAAATGTTTTTCAAACTAAAGACCATCGTCATCATCGTCGACATCGGTCTCGTCTATGCAGACGTAGGTTGGTTGGACGATTTTGTTGTAATTTAAAAACTTCACGTCCGCTGACATTCGCATGGAATATTGAATACGGCTCGACTCTAATGAGAAACTTCATAGACATTAGCAGGCAGCCTAAAAGTATACTTCAATTTCCTTCCATATGTGTTAAATTCTTTTGTTCCGTCTTTTTTTTTTTTTTTGTTTTTTGGATCTCTAATTACAGCTGAGTCTCAGCCGGTGCGATGCAATGAGGTTGGTTGGTTGGTTAGTTAGTGCTTCTTGTATGGCCATTACGGCAGCAGTGGCCTGAGAGACGGCCCATCAACAACAACAACAACAGTTGTCTATTGAATTCTAATTCTATTGAAACAAAACCACATTTTCCAATTAATCATTACTCGTTAATGAAACCTCTAAATGGTCAATAAACCTCAGTGATGACCCGGGGGAAAGAGAGGGGAGAAGTGCTACATTGTTTGACTAGCTGGCATAGGAGGAAGTTGAACTTGCTATTGAAATCGTGGATACATGTGGAGAACGAAAAAACGGGACCATTGCATTGCAAAACATTAGTTGTGTTGATGACTAGAATGTATGAACGGTAGCTTAGGGATAGCAAAGGAGCCCATTTGTGGACTGTCCGAGGATATTATGCGAATAGTATTTCCAAAGGATATACAAAGTTAATAATAATGGATTTTGTATTAGAACAGTTCTTTGAAATATATTTGAAGATTTCAGAGAATTTTCGCCAAAAGATGTTTAAGTATTAAACGCCAGATTACATTTGAAGTTAAGAGTTATATGTAAGCTGACGTTCTCCAATGTTATAGCGCACTTTTAGTTGCTTCCAAGATTTATATACC